CCCCGCGCCCGGGACCCAACGCTGCCCGGTGCCCGCGCCGGCCGGCAGAGGGCAGCGGCAGGGCGCCGCGGGCCGCACATGGCTGTGTGACCGCAGGATTATGTGTCTGTCCCCTTGCTCAGGGCGGCGTGCCGACGATGGAGCGCGCCGTGGAGCCCTGGGGCCCAGATCTCCAAGGCTCGGAGGAGAGGGAGCCGCTGAGAGGTGCCCGCACAGGTGAGGGCCGCGGCCGCGCGCCGCCCTGGACAGGTAATGGCTGGCTGGGGACTCCGGTGCTGGGCTCTGCCTGGCCGAGACCCATAAGAATCGGACAGGAGTTGTGTCTTCAGGGAGGGAGGGGAGCGGAAACTGAGGGAGGAGAGCCACCGTTTCTGAACACCTACTGTGCGCCAGGCCGGGAAGGGCATCTTCTCAAGGACTCGCTCCTCGGCTCCCACAGTGTTCGCCATCCCTACTGCCTCTGCCCTACTTCAGGCCTCGTTCTATCTCATCCCGGCAATTGCCTCCCCTCCGCCTTTTTCTCTCCAGGGATGCGCTGTGCTGCCAGGTTGATCTAAGTCCAGATCTGATCCTGTCTCTCTTCTCAGAAATCTTCCCTAGCTTCCCTCTGTCTACTAATTCAAAGCCTTAGCCCAATGTTTGACCCAAACCTTACATGCCCAGGTTAGTCCCACCATCCTTTTCTAGCTTTATCCCCCATTCCTTTCCATGATTTTCTCTTTCCTCTGCAGTGAATGCCAGTCCCTAACTCCTCATCTCCTATCTCTGTTGTGATAACACAGTTATTGTGAACCCCAAATTATAATTATTGATACTTTATCTTATTTCTTTTATTTCCTACCACCCCTAAGCATCTTAAGAGAAGGATGTGTGTCTGGGTCCTCCAGGTACACAGAGGATGATTACGGAATGGGCTAATATAACAAGATACAACAGAAATAGCAAATGCCAGGCTTTCCAAATAGAGACAACAACAAAAACAAACAAAAAACAAATAGGGACAATATAGTGTGGTTAACACAGGTTTGGATGTCAGACAGACGTGAGTTAAAAACCTGGCTTTGCTACTTTCTAACCTTTATAATCTTGAGCAAGCGACTTAAATTCTCCGAATCTCCATTTCTGTAAAATGGGGATAGTCATAGTATTACCTCATAGGATTGTTTACAAGGATTCAATAATGCTTAGTCAGTGATTGGCATATGTTAAGGGCATAGTAAAAGCAAGTTTTTATTATTATTGAGAGGTACAGACAATAAGTGCTCCAGAAGTTCAGAGGAAAGAGAGAGATCCTTTTTTTTTTTTAAAAGATGACCAGTAAGGGGCCCGGCCCGGTGGCGCACTGGAGAGTGCGCCGCTTTGGAGCATGGCGGCGCTGCCGCCAAGGGTTCGGATCCCATGTGGAGACCTGTTCCCGCTCACTGGCTGAGTGTGGTGCGGGCGCAACACCGAGGGTTGCGATCCCTTTACCGGTCAGTAAAAAAAAAAGACAAAAAGGAAAAAAAAAAGATGACCAGTAAGGGGATCTTAACCCTTGACTTGGTGTTGTCAGCACCACGCTCACCCAGTGAGCAAACCGGCCATCTCTATATGGGATCCAAACCCGTGGCCTTGGTGTTATTAGCACCGCACTCTCCCGAGTGAGCCACAGGCCAGCCCCAAGCGAGAGAAAGCGAGAGATCCTTTTGATCACAAATTGACAAGGAATTCTTCCTGGGGAGATTGCTATCAAAAATAGGGACTGAACTAAAGGACAGGGTCTACAACTCCCTTTTCTTTCCCCAGGTCTAGGGAGTGAGAATGTGGAGATTTCTCAACCCGATGAGTTTGAACATACCCCACAGGAAGATGACTTGGGGTTCAAAGAAGGGGAAGATTTGGCCCCAGGTCATGAAGTAGGAAATGCCTCTCTCAAACCCGAAGGCATTCAGACCTGGGATGACTTATGGGTCCAGAGAGAAGGGCTAGGCAAGCCTCAGCCTCGGGACAGAGGCCCCCAGCTCCTGGGAGAACCACGCTGGGGCCAGGCTAGTAGCGATCGGGCTGCTGTGTGTGGTGAGTGTGGCAAGAGCTTCCGACAGATGTCAGATCTGGTGAAACACCAGCGGACCCACACAGGGGAGAAACCCTACAAGTGCGGGGTCTGTGGCAAGGGCTTTGGGGACAGCTCTGCCCGTATCAAACACCAGCGAACTCATAGTGGTGAGAAGCCCTACAGAGCCCGGCCAGCAGCCCAGGGGCCCCCAAAGATTCCTCGTCCCCGGATCCCTGCTGGTGAGCGCCCCACTATTTGTGGCGAATGTGGCAAGAGCTTCCGGCAAAGTTCTGACCTGGTGAAACACCAACGGACACACACGGGTGAGAAGCCCTACAAGTGTGGCATCTGTGGCAAGGGCTTTGGTGACAGTTCTGCCCGCATAAAGCACCAGCGGACACACCGCGGGGAGCAGCCCCCCCGGCCAGTGGTGCCCCGACGGCAGCCATCACGAGCAGCAACTGCAGCCTCACAGGGACCCAAGGCCCAAGACAAGCCATATATCTGCACTGATTGTGGCAAAAGGTTTGTGCTCAGCTGCAGCCTGCTGAGCCACCAGCGCAGTCATCTGGGGCCCAAGCCTTTTGGCTGCGACGACAGCCACATTTCCATGTGTCTCCTTACCAATAAACTGCTTTTTGTCTGAGGCGTGGACTCTGTGTGCGCGCATGCGCGTGTGCATGCACCCGTGGCAAGGGTTGAAAAAGGAGTAGAGGAGTAGCCACAGGCAAAATCCTCAAGCCATGTGTATTTCTAGCTCCGACATCCGGTTTTAAAAGGGCCACCAGGTCCATCAACTGATGCCCCAGGCCTAAGGTTTGGCTGCCCACAGGCACCACCTACGCCAGAGGCGCGACCCTTAAAAGGAAAAATGCGCGACGCCGCGGAGGGAGGGCAGGCGATGCAGAAGGGGGGTGCTCAGTGGGCGCTGTTGCTATGGCGACGGCTACACGGCAAGACGTTGCAGACCTGTCTGGCACAGGAGACCCATCGCTGACGCATCGACCGCCAAGGCCCTGGGAAAACCTGCCTCCTAGAGGCTCTCTCTTTTTTTTTTTAATGGCGGCTGGCCGGTAGGGGGATCCGAACCCATGACCTTGGAGTTACAAGGCTGCGCTGTAGCCAACTGAGCTAACCGGCCAGCCTCCGGCTCTTTTATGTATGGTGAAACAAGCCATGGAGCTGCACAGCCCAAAGGGAGGGTAAAGAGAGATGTCTCCTCATCCCCAGGAACAGGCAACCGCATTTCTTGCTGACCCCGTGCGTCCCCCGGAGCAGGACTCCAATTCCTAGCTTCTTCCTAAGAAAGCGTCAACAGGGAGGACGGGGGAAGAGAAACTGGCCTGACTGGCCAGGGACAAAAAAGACCAGGGCGGTTCACCATCCAAGCAATGAAATACAGGATTACTTTGCAAGCTCGCGTGTTCCAGCGTCCCAGCTACCCCTCGCGCGGGAATAGTCCCTGGATAGTTGTTCTCGCGAGATCTTAACCATCGCCCGGCTTCCCTAGAAACCAGTGAAAGTTGGTGACCGAGCGGTTCCTGCCGATCCTCCCACCTTGCCCAGTTTCGTACACATTCGAGACGGCAGAACTTTGCGTTCGGGGCTAGGGGGTTTTTTTTTGTTTTTTTTTTTAAGATGACTGGTAAGGGGATCTTAACCCTTGGCTTGGTGTTGTCAGCACCACGCTCAGCCAGTGAGCGAACGAGCCTTCCCTATATGGGATCCGAACCCGTGGCTTTGGTGTTATCAGCACCGCACTCTCCCGAGTCAGCCACGGGCCGGGCTTATGGGGCTTTTTATGTATGGTGAAACAAGCCATGGAGCTGCACAGCCCAAAGGGAGGGTAAAGAGAGATGTCTCCTCATCCCCAGGAACAGGCAACCGCATTTCTTGCTGACCCCGTGCGTCCCCCGGAGCAGGACTCCAATTCCTAGCTTCTTCCTAAGAAAGCGTCAACAGGGAGGACGGGGGAAGAGAAACTGGCCTGACTGGCCAGGGACAAAAAAGACCAGGGCGGTTCACCATCCAAGCAATGAAATACAGGATTACTTTGCAAGCTCGCGTGTTCCAGCGTCCCAGCTACTCCTCGCGCGGGAATAGTCCCTGGATAGTTGTTCTCGCGAGATCTTAACCATCGCCCGGCTTCCCTAGAAACCAGTGAAAGTTGGTGACCGAGCGGTTCCTGCCGATCCTCCCACCTTGCCCAGTTTCGTACACATTCGAGACGGCAGAACTTTGCGTTCGGGGCTAGGGGGTTTTTTTTTGTTTTTTTTTTTAAGATGACTGGTAAGGGGATCTTAACCCTTGGCTTGGTGTTGTCAGCACCACGCTCAGCCAGTGAGCGAACGAGCCTTCCCTATATGGGATCCGAACCCGTGGCTTTGGTGTTATCAGCACCGCACTCTCCCGAGTCAGCCACGGGCCGGGCTTATGGGGCTGGGGTTCTTGACGGCTTCTGCCCCCAGGTGCACACGCACCCATTGGCTTGAATGGAGCCCTTTTGGCGCTTTTGGAAGATCCTCCCTGCTGGTTTCCCTGGCTCCCTTCCATACCAGTTTGGCCTCCAAACCAACCTGCAACGGACTTTGTTAAATTACATCCGGCCATGTCACTCCCCCATTAAAAACCCTACCGTAAAGGCTGGCCGGTCGGCTCAGTTGATTAGAGCATGGCGCCAATGACACCAAGGTCCAGGGTTCAATTCGGCACTGGCCAGCCAAAAAAAATAAAAAGGCTGGCCGGTGGCTCACAGCGCTGATAAACACCGAGGTCAAGGGTTCGGATCCCAGTACCGGCCAACCGCCAAAAAATAAAAAACAAAACAAAACAACCCTGCCATATCTCCCCATGCCCTCTCTGTAAAGCCTAACCCCTTAGCTGGCATTCAAGGTCTTCCACTTGTATGGTTTCAGCTCTTTGCCTCCTAAATGTTGTTTCCTTTAGTGGTAATGCTCCCCCACCCTGTTAACCTCTCCTGTCAAAACACCTCAAGCACTACTATCTCCCCGAAGCCTTCCCTGAGCCTCCAGCCTGGGTGAGAATCCCCCTCTCAACAACCCCTACCTGAGCACACAGCACAGGGAGAGTGTCTTGAGGATAACTAGTCCTTTAGGCAACAGCGTGACCTACTATGTGCTGAGTACTGGGGCGAGAAGTAAAATAGGACCAAGTCCCTGCCTTCAGTTTTTATGCAGAAGCTAAACACTGAACAAATAATTACAAGCGTAGTAAGGACTATCCAGGAAACATAAATGCAGGAGAGAGTCCTACGTGATCCAAAGGTCTCTTCAAAGACGTGGCAATTAACTCTAGACCTAAGGGCTGGCTGGTTAGCTCAGTTGGTGAGAGCGTGGTGCTCTAACACCAAGGGCCAGGGTCCAATCCCTGTATCTGCCAGCCGCCGAAAAAACACAACAACCTTTAGACCTAACGTTAAGTTAGAGTAAGCTAAGAAAGGAGGAGGTGGGAGACGGGATGGAAGATGCAGTGTCTTAGGCAGAGTGAAGCGATGCACCAAGTCCTTGCGGATTCAAGAACTGAAGTAAAGTTCTAGTGAGGTTGAAGGCAAATAGTGAGAGGCAGAGTAACGAGGAGTAAAATAAAGGCTTTTCCAAATTCAACTTTCTTTTTTGGTGGCTGGCCAGCATGGGGGGGGGCCTGAACCCTTGACCTTGGTGTTATCAGCACCACGCTGTACCAATTTAGCTAACCAGCTAGCCCCCAAATTTAACTTTCTGCCTCCCAGTCCTTGCAGGGGCCTGGCACCCATAGGTGTCCTTGAAACTTGATATGCTCTTATGCTCTTTACAAGAGTTTACAATCCCACAAACTACTACCTCCTTGTCAATCTGGCAAATTCCCACTCATCTTTGAAGGCCTTTCACGTTTATCATTTATCTTCTGGGTGAGGCCTGCACCCATACCACTCCCCTCAAGGGAGTTATTCACCCACTCCAATGTTCTCCTGCCAGAATACCTATTATCCTTTTCATATATATATATATACACACACACACACACACACACACATACATATATATATATATTTTAATTACAGTCTCCTTTACTAGACTATGAGATTCTCAAGAACAGGAACTAGATCCGATTGCGAGTAGATACCTGTCTATGTTTGTAGAGCAAATACATGAAGCCCTTTTCCTTTTCTTTGCAATTACCCGTTCTAAACAGCAGGAGTCTCCTTTCTGTCAGGACTTTCACTGTCCCCAGAGGCAGGCCCCTGGCCAACTCCCTTCACTAATTCTCTTTGACCTTGCTCTTGCTAGAGGTGGGATTCCAGCTATAATCTGGCCCTGCCTACCTCTCCTCCATCTCTCCTAGTACATTTCCCTTTGCTAGCTTGCTGGGATCCAGCCACGCAGCCTTCCTTTTGTTGCTCAAACATGCCAACTTCCTGGTTTCCCCCCTAACTAAATCCTACATCAAGGACAAACTCGAATGTCACTTTTCTGGGAAGTCCGATGCCCAGACTGATCTCTTCTTCTCTAAAGTCCTCTTGTACTCACAGCTCTTGCATTGTTTCACCCAGATTATGTATGTTTCCCTTGCTAGACTGAGACACCTTGAGCACATGCCAAGATTGCTATACTGAAAACTATTATTATAGAGAGAAAAGTGATGCTCACAGCCTGCCAGCAGGGGTTCACTCTGATTAAGCTTATCAGATTAATGTCATTTCCTCTTTTGAAGGTCTTGCTAGAAAGCTAGACAAAGGGAGGGAAGAAAGAAAACTAATATTTCTTTTTTTTTTTTTTAAAGATGACCGGTAAGGGGATCTTAACCCTTGACTTGGTGTTGTCAGCACCACGCTCAGCCAGTGAGCCAACCGGCCATCCCTATATGGGATCCGAACCCGTGGCCTTGGTGTTATCAGCACCGCACTCTACCGAGTGAGCCACGGGCCGGTCCCCACATTCTTCCAGATTTTCAAATGGCTAACCCTTTCTCACTATTCAAAGTTCATATCAAATATCATGCCCTCAGCAATGTCTTCTCTGCCTACTTTAAAGAAGCCCCCAAACCATAGCCACTCCCTATTGGATCATCTTACCCTGTTTCCCTCATTGCACCTATCATTATCTGAAATTATCTTGTTTATTTACTTATTTAGTTGTTTACATTTTTTTACACCCTTAGCCGTTCCACTAGAGCCAAGATATTTGTCTTGTTCACTACTTCATCTCTAATACCTAGAATGTTGCCAGGCACATGGTAGGACTCAATAAATACCTGATTACAGAATGAACACACAGTGGCTTTTGGGGATCTTGCATCTTGTGTATCCAGGCATTTGCCCCTTCTCCCAGCTCTGGGGAAGAGCCAAAGTTTGAGTAGATGTAATCCCAACATCCAAATTATGCCCTGGGCTCTGCAGCCCAATGCTCAGGTTGCTCAGGTTTCAGTCCTGGCTCTGCCACCAATTTCCTCCTATAACCTCATTCCTTTTTTTTTTTTTTTTTGGTGGCTGGCCAGTGTGGGGTTCGGAACCCTTGACCTTAGTGTTATCAGCACCACACTCTAATCAACTGAGCTAACCAGCCAGTCCTCATTCCTGAAAGATAATTTGGTGCAATGCAGGAGCTTTGAATCTGCTGCTACCAGCTGTGTGAGTTTGAGCAAATTATTTATCCTAAGTTTTAGTTTCTCATTTGCAAATGGAGATATTATTGATCCCCACAGGGCTGTTGTAAAGTGACAACATATGGATTGTAAACATTCACTGAATGTTATTTCTCTTTTCCTTCATCATTTCTGAATCTGAGTTGTGTTAAATAAAAATTATTGGAATCCGGGCCGGCCCGTGGCTCACTCGGTAGAGTGCGGTGCTGAAAACACCAAGGCCATGGGTTCGGATCCCATATAGGGGTGGCCGGTTCGCTCACTGGGTGAGCGTGGTGCTGACAGCACCAAGTCAAGGGTTAAGATCCCCTTACCGGTCATCTTTAAAAAAAAAAAAAAAAAAAATTATTGGAATCCCACGCCAGTCAGCTGCAAAAACAAAAAAAACCCCAAAATATAAAAACAAAATTATCGGAGGGCTGGCCTGTTAGCTCAGTTGGTTAGAAAATGGTGCTGATACTACCAACATCTACAGTTTGATCTCTGTACCAGCCAGCTGCCAAAAGAAAAAAAAAAACTATGAGATCACTGTTTTGGATTAAGTTCCTGTACTACACCCCAACTGACCAGACTACAAATCAAAATGAAGTCACCTCTGCTAAGTTCCAGGTCACTTATGTTGTGGTCTGACTCTCCCACAAGTCAGGAGAAAGAGGTAACAGCCAATTTCCCAAACAGGCCAGTTTAAATCTTGATATATATGATAATAAAGTTCACTCTGTTTTAGCCCTAAGACAAAAGAGATAGTCTGAAGTAACCTGATGTTAACTCATCAGTTATTTTCCTATTGTTCTGTCTCCCTGTCCCCACCTTACAAGAAAAGTAACTTTGAAATAACCAATCCGCCCACTTTTGTTCTTTGTTTCTGCTTTCTTCGGCCTTTTCTTTCTATAAAGACTTTGTTGTTTTGTAATAAAAGTTGGAGCCCTTCTCTGACTTTGTCAAATGGTATTTCCCAGGTCGACCCTCACATTTGGCTCCAAATAAATTTTACAAAATTATTTATGCCTCAACAGTCGTTATTTCCCTCAACAGTTACCCCCTTCATAAAATGAAAGAATTGGATATCTGCTTTTTCTTTTTCTTTTTGGTGGCTGGCTGGTAAGGGGATCCGAATGCCTTTTCAAGAGAAGTGGGAAACACAGATTTCTATATGAACTATCCCATCTGTTAGAAATTGGAATTTAAAATTTGCAGAAGACCTCTCATCTTTTGAAACTTTTTTTTTTTTTTAAGGCGGCTGGCTGGTACGGGGAACCGAACCCTCAACTTGGTGTTACAAGGCCGCCCTCTAGCTGAGCAAACCGTACAACTCTGAACCTAATTTTTATTTTATATATTATTTATTTTAAAATGATGACCGGTAAGGGGATCTTAACCCTTGGCTTGGTGTTGTCAGCACCACGCTCAGCCGGTGAGCTGACCGGCCATCCCTATATGGGATCCGAACCCGTGGACTTAGTTGTTATCAGCACCACACTCTCCCGAGTGAGCCACGGACCGGCCATCCCTATATGGGATCCGAACCCGTGGACTTAGTTGTTATCAGCACCACACTCTCACGAGTGAGCCGGCCCTGAACCTTTTTTAAAAGCAGAAATACCCTGAGGGCCAAACAAGATACTTCCGTGAACTGGATTTGGCCCTGAGCTACTAATTTTCCACCTAGGATACTGGTTGTCAAGGATGCTATGACACCCTTACTGTGTAATTCTGGCAAATCAGTTTACCTCCCTGAACTTCAATGAGCTCATCTGTGAAATGGGCATACCCATCGCCGTGCGGATCAAATGAGCACAGGTGTGTAAAACGCTTGCATAATGCTGGCGTAAGTAGGCACGCCACACACTGAACAGCTAGCAGTAGTTTAGGGGGCTGTGAATTTGGGAAGTATGTATTCAAGGAGCAAGATATCCCAGGGGCCAGGAAACCAGGAAGGCAACGCCGAGAAAGGAGAAAGACGCCAGAGGAGGAGAAAAGAGGGAAGGGAAGAGGTAAGGAGGCAACAGGGTCCGCCCTCCAGGCGGGGCGCCAGCGAGAGGCCCAGGCCGGGGCGGGAGCGCACGTGGCCTATTTCGGGCGGAGCAGGCGCGCCTGGCCGCGGCAGGAGACGAGCCGTGAGGGTAGGTTGGAACCCGACTGCGGACCTTGAACGCCGGACTGGGGCAGCTGCGAGCCTTTGGGAGTAGGAGGACTGAGGGGAGCGCCAGAACTGGACTCTCCGCCTAGCAGTTTGGGCCGGACGCCTGGGTCCTCCGGGCCCGTCCCCTTAGGGGCGGGGTTGGGCTCTAGGACCAATGACCGGCCGTCCCTGAGTCCCCGCCCCGTCCCGCCCCCGAGCCGGGGCATCCCAGAGTGCCCAACCGCCAGGCGCCCAGGCCTGGGGCAGCGCGAGCGCCGAACCTCCGGCTGGTGAGTGCGCACCCCCCAGAGTTTCTGCCGCGATCCCGCCTCCAGCCCGTGCCCTAGAGCTCCGGGTCGCCGACCCAAGCGCCGGGGAGTGACTCAGCGCGGGGAGGGTGGCTACTTGCGGGGGCTGGAGATTCGAACTGTTCAGGGCCTTGAACGCTGGGATGAGTGGGGCGAACGGGTGTATCCGGAGCTGGTCCCAGGGCAGTGGCGGAGTGTGGGGCCAGGCTGGGGTGGACGGGAAAGGGCCAGATTCGGAGACCAGGGCAGGGCGGGAGAAGCCACGGCTGCACCGCCTTGCCTGGGCCAGGGCCATGGTGGAGGGTGGATCCTGAGCTTCTGACCGAGCTCCTCGCCTCAGGACACCAAGATGCCTGGCGAACAGCAGGCAGAGGAGGAGGAGGAGGAAGAAATGCAGGAGGAGATGGTGCTGTTGGTGAAGGGTGAGGAGGACGAGGGTGAGGAGAAGTATGAGGTGGTGAAACTCAAGATCCCCGTGGACAACAAGGAGGTACGTGTCACATACACCCTGGAGCCCGTTGCCCCCAAACCTGAGCCAGGCCCAGCCTCTCCCAGGTTGAAGCCAGGGATCCTGCCCCTACTTTCCCTTGAATCTCAATGTAGATTCTCAGGGTCGGCCCATCTTCTGCCCCACTGCCCCACTGCCCATGCAGATGTCACACCTACCAGTGTGCCACATTCTGTGCTGGGTGCTGGAGAGTGAGTGAACTCTATCCTTGAATCTCTGTGGAGCTGGATGCCTAACAGGGTTAGACTGATGAGTAAGCCCGCAGTTACAATCCTGTGTGATGGGTGCGGGCACAGGGAGGTGGTGAAGCCCAGAGTTGGGAACTTAATTCAGACTTAGAGGGCTGGCCGGTTTGCTCACTTAGGAGAGTGGTGCTGATAACACCAAGGTCAAGGGATTGAATCCCTGTACTGGCTGGCCACCAAAAAAAAAAAGACTTAAGGGTGAGAGAGAGGTCAGGTTAGGCAGCAGTAACAATAACTGACTCTTGCACAGCATTTACTACGTGCCAGACACTGTTCTAAGCACTTCGATTTAATGATGTAGTAAGCATTTATTTCCATTTTACAGGTGAGGAAACTGAGGTCTAGGGCAGTTTGGAAACTGGCTCAAGTTCTCAAAGTTAGTAAAGGTATGGCTTATCTGAGACCGGTAGTACAGAGGGAGTAGCCCTTTTAGAGGCTCAGAATTGTGAGTGGGGCACTGTTCACAGTGTGAGGACAGGTGGTACAGTCATGATAACATGGATGAGAGTGGGATGGTTGGCAGGCCACACAGGGAGTCTGGGTTTTATCCTGAGGGTATTTGAAGGTTTTGAGATCAGAATATGACTTACATTTCCCCATTGGAGATCCTAACTGCCACCAGGTATGTTTCCACTTCCCAGAACCTCACGGGACTCTGGCTGCCCCGAGTCTGAGCAGCCCTGAGTCCAGCTCGGAGGGCTCCTGCTGGGCCAGCTTTCAGGGCCCAGTTCTCAGGGAAAGAACGTTCTGCTGCCCCCTAGTGGGCGTGGTGGGTCCTAGGGGGTGGGGGCTGGCTCCTCAGGCCTCCCGTCCAGTATAAATGACTATCTAGTTGTTTTTCTCCCACCTCCTTGGCCACTCATCCTAGCTCAGCCTGTCTGTTCTGGCCCTGTAGATTCCCTGATCTCCACCTTTGGCCCATAAGTTAAGAACATAGTTCCCTGCACTGGCCAGCCGTGGGGAAACACACACACACACTCACACTCCAGGAACTCTGTCACTGTGTGACTTTGGGCAAATTTCTTGACCTCTTTATGCCTCAGTTTCTTCATTTGTACAAGGGAAATCATACCAGCACCTACTTCTTGGAGTTGTGAGGATGGAGTGAGTTAATGGATGTAAAGAGTTAGAACCATGTCTGGCACATGATAAACATTATGTAAATAGTTGCTATTATTGTTTATTCTTCTCCCTAAAGTTCAGGACCTTGGATTAGGTCATCCTTTGGGCTTTTTTTCTTTTCTTTTTTTTGGCAGCTGGCCAGTACAGGAATCTGAACCCGTGACCCTTTGTTACAAGGCTGCACTCTAACCAACTGAGCCAACCAGCCTGCCCATTTTGTTTTTTTTTTTTTGTGTGGTGGGTTTTTTTCTTTTTTTTTTTTTTTTGGCAGCTGGCCTGTACAGGGACTGAGCCCTGGACCTTGGTGTTATTAGCACCATGCTCTGACCAAGTGAGCTAAACGGCCAGCCTGGAAATTTTTCCAACTTTTTTTTTTCCCCCTTGGGGTTTTTGTTGGCGGCTGGCCAATACAAGCACCAAACCGTTGACCTTGGTGTTATCTCACCATGCTCTAACCAAGTGAGCTAACTGGCCAGCCTCAACTCATTTTTATCAAAGGGCTTTCTGGGCCGAACCCTGAGGTTGAACAGGGAAACCCACAGGGAGGCATAAATAGAGCACTGAGGGCAAACAACTCAAGGCTGTGGGGAAGGCTTCACAGAGATGATTTCTGACTTGGGTCTTGAAGGCTTAATGGAGGTTTTGCAAGCAGAAGAGGAGGAGGAAGGGCTTTTCAGGAGGAGGAAACAGCAAAAGCAAAGGCTCAGAGGGGAGATGAAACTAGAAAGGTAGGAGGGACCTGAGAGTAAAAGGCCTTGAAAGTCAGGGTAGGAATTTGGACAAACTGCCTTAGGTTATGTGGTGCCATCAGAAGCCTTAAGTCAGGGGAGGGACATGATCGGATTTTCTATTTAGAAGACTCATTGGCTGCTGTGGGGGGACCAGGCCAGGTAAGGCTGGTGGCCTGCTCTAAGGTAGATGCAGCAATGATGCAGAAAAGGGGATCTTTGGAAACCCTGATTGGACTGGCTGGGAGGTGGGGAAAGGGCTTGGCATGACTAGTTATGATAGGTATATAGGGCCAGACTGTAAATGGAATCATGTAACAGTCAAATCCTAACTCCATTTACCAATTTTGCCTCGGCTTTCTATCTGTAAAATGAAATAATGAAATAAGGTCCTTGAATGCCAGTCTGAGAAGTGTCATCTGGGTGACTGGACTTGTGGGAGGAGGGTGGTATTGGGGATTATAAACATATATCCCATGAACATTTAGCACTGTTAGCTCACTGATTTGCTGTGTGGTCTCCCTGAGCCTCATTTCTCTATGAAATAGTGATCTCGAAAGCGCCTTTCAGTGCTGACATGTGTGACTCTGAGCCACCATCCAGTCCCATCACCAGTCCAGAATAGGCCTCAATTATGCTGCCCTCAGCGGCTGGAGTATTCTCTCTGTGCCTGCCAAAATCCAATGTCTTTAAGGAACAGAAAAGATTTGTGCAGAAGGCTCTATGCACATCCAAACCCCTCTCTCCCTGGCTTGAACCCTAGTGGTTTTCTGTTTCAGGATGAAGTCTCAGCTCCTAAGCCTGGCATGCAGAGCTCTTCACCACCTGATCTCATGTACTTCTGGCTTCATCTCTAAGTGCTTAACAGCTACCCCATGCCCCAACTTCAAGCAAACCTGACCCTTACCTCTGAGCTTTTGGCCCATGTGGCGTCAGCCCACCTACTTTCATTAGGAGTAGCTCTTCTCTCTTCTGGATCAGATTTCTTAGTTTTTAACATGCATACAAATCACCTGGGGAATCTTGTTAAAATGAAGATTTTGATTCAGTAAATCTGGGGTGGGGCTTGAGCTTCTGCATTTCTAAAAAGTTCCCAGTGATGCTGTTGTCGCTGGTCTATGGGCCCCACTTCCTATAGCAAGGAACTAGAGGCTAGGGGTCGTATTTTATACTTTGTACCAAAAAGAAGGAAGATTCTGACTGCTGAAAGGGTTCAGGGGAGGGAGACATGCTGTGTAGGTGACCTCAAACTATTATCAGTGAGATTAAAATTGTGTCATGGTGATGAGAAGACGTATTCTGGACAGCAAGCCCTGGCTTTGCCATTAGCTGCATGGGTAGCTTGGGTAGTCACTCCTGTGTTTTGTTTGTTTGTTTGTTTGTTTTGGCAGCTGGCCAGTAGAGGGATTGAACCCTGGACCTTGGTGTTAGCAGCAGAATGCTCTACCAACTGAACTAACTGACCAGCCTCTTAGTCCCTTCTGAGTCTTATTTCCTTATTTATAAGGCACAACTAAGCTACCTAACCCAAAAGGTTGTGAGAATTTAAAATGAAAACATGGGTTAAAAAGCACTTAGCATCATTCCTGGCGTATAGTGAGTGCTCAGTAAATGGTAGTTATTATCATTAATTAGGAATTGAGGGCCAGCCTGTGGCTCACTCGGGAGAGTGTGGTACTGATAACACCAAGGCCACAGGTTCAGATCCCATATAGGGATGGCCAGTTAGCTCACTGGGTGAGCGTGGTGCTGACAGCCCCAAATCAAGGGTTAAGATCCCCTTACTGGTCATCTTTAAAAAAAAAAAAGAAAGAATTGGGCTGGCTGTTTAGCTCAGTTGGTTAGAATGTGGTGCTAATAATGCCAAGGTCCAGGGTTCTATGCCTGTACCGGCCAGCTGTCAGAAAAAAAACTAATGACTGACTAGGAAACTGGGATGTTACCTTGGTTAAAAAAATATTTAANTCCTCCCACCATCTTCAACTTGAAATGGCAACTCCACCTTTGCAGTTGCTAAGTTCAAAAACCTTGGGGTCATTTTGACTCCTTTCTTTACCCCTATATCTAATCTGTTATTGTACCTGTTGTCTCAAACTGCAGATGTATCCAGAACCAACCACTTCTCACCACCTCCACTCTCTTGCCAGATGACTAGTAGTCTCCTTACTGGGCTCCTGCTTCTGCCCTCTCCTTTCCTTCCCTCAGTTTTCAAACCCAGCGGCCTGAGAGGACCTTTTAAAGTATGTCTGATCTGGTCACTTCTCTGCTGAAAACCCTCTGACCTCTCTTCTAATGGTTCCTCATCTCATTGATATTAAAAGCCACAGTTCTTACTGTGGCCTACAAAACCGTAAGCTAAGATATCCCCTCCACCACCCCATAAGTCACTCTCCTCTGCATGCATTCTACTCTAACCAATTTTTCTTGCCATTCCTGGAACTCAGCAGTTGCAGGCGAACACCTGCTTCAGGGCCTTGCTGTTCCCTCTGTAATGCTCTTCTGGGGGATGTCCATGTAGCCTGACCTCCCACCTCCTTCAGGTCTTTGCTCATGTTACCATATCAGTAAGGTGTCTTGATAACCCTAATTTGCAGCATCCCCCAATGCCATAACTCCTTATCCATTCTTCCTGAAGGCAGGAATTTTCTCTTTTTAATGCTTTTTTATTTAATGCTGAATCTCCACTGCCTAGGGACAAAGTCTAGCACATTGCACGCGCTCAATAAATATTTGTTGAATAAAAACAGCTAGAATGCTACTAGGTATCGTGGTACGAGCGTTACACGTATTTAATGTGCACAGCCACCCTATAAGGCAGGCACTGTTGCTTGTCCTATTTCACAGACGGGGAACTGAGGCTCAGAGGTGGCAGCAGGTGGAGAGCCAGGTCTCCGGCTCCGAGGCCTATAGGTCAGGGCTGACCTGTTCCCCCTCTCCCTGCAGGTCCCGAGCGAGGCGCCAGCGCCGTCGGCCGACCCGGCGCGCCCCCACGCGTGCCCCGANATGATCACCTAGTCTGGTATTTGCCAAGTTTCAGTCACATGTTTATTGCTCCAGTGTTGTATTCACATTATTTATTTATTAGTGCTTTTCTTCAAGTAGATTCACATTGTTTTGTTAAATAAACTTACCTTTATCTTAACAGTAATATTGATAAAACTGTAGGTTTCACATAATCTGTTGTTTTTCTAATATCCATGAAAATAATACAAAATGATTACAAGATAAAGTCTGCCCACATACCACCCAGAATCCTCTTTCATCTTGCGGTATGCATAACTCAAGATGGAAAATTCTGATCTCACCAAGCCTATCTAGCCTTCCTCGGGATACTGAGGCAGAGAAGGGGAGTAACTTACCTTGCCCAGAGCCTTAATGAGCTGGACTCAGCCCCTCTTACCAAGACTGTTCCTCCGACACCCAGGGCCCCTCCTCCTGGGCTGTAGACACTGAGTATGCATGTGTGGAGAATTCTTTTTCATAAGTCAGTGAATCCCTCAGGCTGGCCAAAGTCACCTTAAAGAGGGTGCCAAGGAAAAATAGGCCATAAAAATGTAGATATAATGAGAAAAGTTCTCTCCACAATGGCTGACATGTTGGAATGAACTCAATAGAAGTCAAAACCAGGGCAAGACTGGAAAGTGTGACCTTGAATTCAGACTGTGCCAGACCTGCTGTGGGGAGTTTCCCGATCTAAAGTATCAAGTTGTATTTTAACCTTGAATCCCTCTTGGAGAGAGCCAGGGACTTGGAGTCCAGCCTCTGTCACGTCTTGGCTGTGTGAGTTCAGGGAAGAATGTAGCCTATTGGTGGAGGGTGAGCACTCTGAGTCCTGACTCTTGCTGGTTATGTGAATGTAATCTCCCTGAGCCTCAGCTTTCTCAACTATCAAAAGAGATAACACCTGACTAGGGGGTGACAGGAGGATTTGATATGATCAAGTACATAAAGTAGTGTTGTCAAAGTTAACACTGTGATGTTATCACTGTTATTATTGTTATATATATATATATTGTTTAAACCAGAGTTCCCTTTGGCTGGTCACTAATTTCCCAAATTTCCCTGTTTTCCAACTTCCGAGTTGGTTACTTCAAAGCCAGTGCCTTTTTTTTTTTTTTTTTTAAAGTTGACAGGTAAAGGGATCTTAACCCTTGACTTGGTGTTGTCAGCACCATGCTCTCCCAAGTGAGCCACGGGCTGGCCCTAAAGCCACTGTCTTTTGACAAAGGATCTTGAGGGCCTTGAAGTTGCCCTTCTGTGGCTTCAGAAAGGGAAGGCCCCACTGATCTCCAGCTATCATTTACCCTCTCTTAACTTATTTCTTCATCTATAAAATGGGGATAGAATATGGAGATCAAATATGGGAGAAGCCTTGTCCTTAACATTGCCAGTTATCTCATTTGGTGATAAATTAGTGTCCTTAATTACTTGGCCCACAGTAAATACTCAACATCAGTTTTGCTGGGATGAGAGCGTTCTCTTTTCTAAGAAGGGAGCAATGTGCTCAGTATTCCTCTTCACTCTACTGACTGTTTTCCCTTCACCTACCTCTTACAAAGCATTTCTTTCCTTTTTCTGATTTTTTCTCTGGAAGCCCAGACCTCATGAAACTGGCTCATTGTCAAACTTTTCCATTTCAGGGCACAGAATAGCATTTGGCTTTTACCCTTGCCTTTTTCTTTACAGCTTAAAAAATGATAGATGCTGGCTCTTAAAAGTTTATTAAAGGGCCTGGACCTGGTCCTGGCCTGGCTCCCAAGATGCCACTCTCCTGGCTCTCCTCCCTCATGGCTGCTCCTGCTCTGTCCCTGTTGCTGGCTGCTTCTCAGGCTGCCCCAAGTTCTCTCAGCCCATTCCCTGGATGGTCTCATCCAGTCTCAAGGCTGTAAAAAATTAACATCTCCAGCCTAGGCCTCCCTCCTGAGGCCTAGGATTGGCATCCCTCCTGAGGCCTAGGATTGGCCTCCCTCCTGAGGCCTAGGATTGGCCATACAGTCCCAAAACATCTCACCTCCCATTTTGATCCTCCCACCATCTTCAACTTGAAATGGCAACTCCACCTTTGCAGTTGCTAAGTTCAAAAACATACAGTCCCAAAACATCTCACCTCCCATTTTGCTCCTCCCACCATCTTCAACTTGAAATGGCAACTCCACCTTTGCAGTTGCTAAGTTCAAAAACACGGGGAGGCGGCTGCGCTCACCTGGACGACGACGACTCCCCCGCCTGGCACCCGGGTCTGGGAAAGGGTGGGACAACAGGCCCGGCTGCCCTGGGATGGGGAGAACTTCCTGCCGGGGTCCCTGGAAACCGTGCCCACCTCCCCCTCACGACATTCCTTCGGCCCGTCTTAGTTAATAAAGTATTATATTCTCACCCCACCCGTGCCTGTGAGTGAGGTGGGTGGGGAAAAGAGGAAGATTGGGGTTTTCTCCAAGCTTAGGTGACATGCAGCCAAGTAGGGCTATAAGCCTAAAGGGGCTCCTGTAACTGGGTTTGGGGCGCATTGTCCCGCACTTTGCCCTTGGTTATGTTCTTGTAACCTTAGATCTGAAAGGATCTATGCATATGACACGTTCATGGTCAAACAGGCACTATTTTTTTTTTTTTTTTTAAAGATGACGGGTAAAGGAATCTTAACCTTTGACTTGGTGTTGTCAGCACCACGCTCAGCCAGTGAGCGAACCGGCCATCCCTATATAGGGATGGGAACCTGTGGCCTTGGTGTTATCAGCGCCACACTCTAGTGAGTGAGCCACTGACCGAAACAGGCACTACTTTCTGCAGAGCTTTAGTGTGAGTGACACATAACTCTCATGGAGCTCAGTCTAGTGAAAGTTTATAGCACTATGCTAAAGGTTTTTTTTTGTTTTTTTTTTTTAAAGATGACCGGTAAGGGGATCTTAACCCTTGACTTGGTGTTGTCAGCACCACGCTCACCCAGTGAGCGAACCGGCCATCCCTATATGGGATCCAAACCCGTGGCCTTGGTGTTATCAGCACCGCACTCTCCCGAGTGAGCCACGGGCCAGGCCCTATGCTAAAGGTTTTTTAAGTGCTTCATTATGTAAATATATTTGCTCATTTTCATCCTCAAAACATCCTAAAGTTAGATAAATCTCCTACCTTCATTTTTGCAGATAGACACAGCCAGTGACAAGTACACAGGCAATCGCAGTCCAGTGTCGACTGGAGCTATGCTGAGGGAGGTTTGCTGGATAGGCGGGGTCTCCAGTCTTCTCAGACGTGATGTTTAACCTGGGTCTTGACGGTCAAGAGCTGGGGTTGGGGGAAGTATGGAGAGAACCCCTAAGCTGCATACCAGGCTCATCAGAGCTCGCAGGCGTCCCTTGGGATGGAATGTGGGGACAAAAAGCAAGGAAGAGGTCAAGAAACAGACCATGAGGGACCTTGGAAGCCAAGTTAAAGGATCCAAGTCAACAAAGAAGCCTTGAGGGATTAAAGTGGAAGGATGGATTTGAGTGAGAATTCATGAGTCAGTGGACCAGGGTTTGAGGGAGAGATGGGATTGACTTCCTTTCTAGCTCAGGTACTGCAGGACAGTGTCACTGAGTGGGGCACAGGATGAGGAGCAGGAAAGGAGCTGAAGTGGGAGCAACTGTTACAGCTCAATCTTGACATGTGAGAGGTTAAGTGTGGAGGGGGAAGTAAGGTGATTGGAAATAAAAGAGATGCGTTCGGGAGTCCATGCTACCCTGTTCAGAAGAGGATACCCAAGGAGTCTGAAAGAACAGCCAGAGGTAGGAAGAAAACCAGGAAAGTGTCTGGTCACAAGGAAGGAGTGGTCAGCTGGGTCAGATGCTGCTCTGGTGTCCGCTGAATTTGTCATGAGTGCAGGGTAAGTGGGGAGAGTAGTTTCAGTAGCATGGGTGGGGGTGAGCACCAGCCGAGAGTGCGTCAGGGTATAAGTGGGAGAATGAGGAAGCAGCATGGGTGAGTGTAGACAACGTTTTCAAGAGGATCTGCTGTGAAAAGCATGCGGGAAGCAGCTGAAGGTTTGATGGGTTTTGTCAATAGGGAAGAGATTCAGATATGATTTATATGCTGGTGAGAAAGTCTAATGAAAAGGAAGAGCAGCTGATTATCTAAAAGTGGAAGGAGATAACTGATAAAGGGGAGGGAATGAAATCAGGTTAATAAGTAATTAGTAACTGTCCCTGGAGAGGAAGAGAAAAGGTGGGTTTGGGACATAAAGCTGAAGCAATTCCAATCTGATGGATTGTTTTACCTGGGAAGTAAGAAGAGGGATCATTGGATAAAGGAGTAAGACAGTGAGGCTGGTAAGGGGAAATTTTACTGATGTGGAAATGGGCTCAGAGGGATGGCAAGTCAGTGACCACTACGAATCCTTGAAAGCATAAAGGTCTTTTCCCCAGCATTACCCCCACCTGTGAGGGAGGCAGGCCATAGGTATCTCAGAAAGGGAAGGGATGTCCCAAGGCCACACAATGTATAAATCACACACTCAACAGTATCTTTAGGTGGAAAGGACAGAAATTGGCCTTGGAGTGGGGGGTGGGTGTTCACTTTTACCAAGGGGCCCAAGCCCAAGAGGACAGGAAGCCCTGTACTGCCCTACATGAGAAACCTAATGCTGATGTGTGACCCTGATTTCCTGCACTGGACCCCTGAGAGTTCTGAGTTGAAAAGGCAAACAGACTAACAGTAACTGCAAACTTGCCAGTTACTTATTATGTGCTAGGCACAGTCCTAAGTACTAACTGCCCTACATGAGAAACCTAATGCTGATGGGTGACCCTGATTTCCTGCACTGGACCCCTGAGAGTTCTGAGTTGAAAAGGCAAACACTAACAGTAACTGCAAACTTGCCAGTTACTTATTATGTGCTAGGCACAGTCCTAAGTACTAATAACTCACTTAAACCTTACAACCCTGTCAGGTAGGTACTGTTATTTTCATTTTATAGATAAGGAAACCAAAGTGCAGAAAGATGAAGTAATTTAATTTAATCCAGCTCATA